TGAGTGTAGGAATGACGTATAACCAAGTCTCTCAGGAGATGTGTAGGTGGGGGCGAGGCTTCTCAACTCTGCCCAGGGACAGAGGCAGTCACAGAGGAGAAGACCATCGAGTTTCACTGTCTTTGGGAAGAGGAAGAAAGATATATAGGGAGGGGAACCTTCGTGTGCAATGCCAGGGGTAGCAGGTTTGACATAGTGGTGTGGAGCATCCTCAGGTTCCACCTTACATAGGCAAATGGCTCACAAATCCATGAGGCCTTTTGGATATCCAGGAGACAAAACTGTCCATCAAACTGAGCCTTGGTCGGCCAGGCTGGTGAAACAGCGCCACCAACTGGTGGAACATATGCCTGCCATTGCGGTCCCCTAGGAGCTTTACAGAGTTCTGGACGCCTGAGTGCCACCAGTCAGCAGCTTGGCCCTGAGAATAAGGACCAGAGGGGGGGGGGCTGTACTCTCCCCCCGAATTCCGGGGGCCTGAGAGCAGAAGCCTCGGGCAGCTTCTGGAAGGAAAAGTGCTCCCTGGCACCAGATAGCCTGGATAGAATAATTGGGTCCTGGAAGGGCTCAGTTCACAGTGCCGCGGACTTGCAGCATCGCCGCTGGGAAAGTTTCTTAACATTTTCCTGCCCCAGTTTCTTCGCATGCAAGCTTGGAACGGTAATGGTCTCTGCCTCTTGCAGTGTTCCACAGGAGCACATATAAACCGCCTGCCACAGTGTTCCACTGGCTGTTACTGGCTCTCAATTTACTGTATTAGGGCCAGTGAGAGGACTCAGTGGGTAGAGGCGCTTGCTGCCAGGCCTCAGGACCCGAGTTTGGTTCTTGGGAACCACACAATGGAAGGGGAAAGCTAACCCCTGACAGTTGTCCTGTGATCACTACGTGTACGCTGTGGCATGTGCACAGTCCCCTCTGCACAATAAAAATAAAGTATTTTAAATGTTCTGTATCATGATAATAATTATTTTTGTGTGCACGTGCAAAGGCGCTTGGATGCTGTCCACTTTGAAAAACAATTAAAGAGGCCGGGTGTTGGTGGTGAATGCAGAGGCAGGCAGGTCTCTGTGAGTTCAAGACCAGCCTGGTCTACAGAGTGAGTTCCAGGACAGTCTCCAAAAGCTACAGAGAAACCCTGTCTCGAAAAACCAAACACAAATTTAAAAGAATTTTTAAATTTTAAATTTAGAATTTTTATTTCATTTTTAGAAACAAAGACCTTTAAAAATTGTTTTCGGTCAAGTATGTAACGTGTCTCTGAGTATGGGTATGTGCACATGAATGCGGGTGCTTGCACAGGCCAGAGGCATTGGGTCCCCTGAGTTGGAGTTACGGGTAGCTGTGAGTTGCCCCATGTGGGTGCTGGGAATCAAACTCGAGTCTTCTGGAAGAGCAGCACATATTTTTAATCACTGGGGCATTCTCCAGCCCCTCAAAAGAATTTTAAAAGATGTATTTATTTTATGTATATGTGTTTTGCTTGTGCGTGTATATGCACACCATACGTGTGCTGCTCCAGAGTTCAGCAGAGGGAGCCTGATCCCCTGGAACTGGAGTTATGGTTGTGAGCTGGGTGCTGGGAACTGAACTTGGAAGAGCAACAGGTACTCTTTTTTTTTTTTTTTGGTTTTACAAGACATGGTTTCTTTGTATTGTTTTGGAGGCTGTCGGTCCAGCCCGGCCTCGAACTCACAGAGATCCACCTGCCTCTGCCTCCCAAGTGCTGGGAGCAACAGGTACTCTTTTTTATCATTTTTTATTTTAATTTTAAATAGCTTGTTTTACAGCAACAGGTACTCTTAATCACTGAGGTGTGTCTCTCCAGCCCCGACTGCCTATTCTGAGACAGGGTCTCTCACTGGCTTGGAACTTGAAAGTAGGCTAGAATGGCTGGTCAGTAACCTCGGGAGTCCTCCAGTCTCTGCCTACCCCAATCTGGGATTACAAGTGCATACCTCCACATTTTTACACTGAGTGCTGGGTTTTTTTTTAACTCAGGTCCGCAAGCTTGGACGGCGAGCACCCCTGCTAAGCCGTCTCTCCAGCCCTGCACTGGGATCCTGACCAGCATCGTCCCTGAAGATGTGGACTGGAGTAGCTCTGAGGGGCGCAGAGGCTGGGAGAGGGAGGGACAGTTTGTGACGCCGTGTGTAGAGGGAGCTTCCCCACCCCGAGAAAAGCAGGGGCTTGTAGCTGAACACTGGAGTGCTTTTGAAACGCGACTTGGAGGGGACGTTCAGGAATTCCCACAAGCAGGGCTCTATTTCTGAAATCCAATTTTTAGAAACTGCTGTGATTTGTGTGTTTTCCTGTCAACAGGGTAGCTCCAGGCGCTGCTACCAATTAATTTGCCATTTCTTCATTTGCCAACTGAGTCACCCCCATGTCAGTGGATTTAAATGTTTGTGAAGTCATGCAGTCTTCCCTGAAAGGGGATTGGTTAGTGCAGCCATGTTTGGGTAGAGAGTTGAAGAGACACACGTGAAGCTGGGCTTGTGATGTTTGGTCCTACAGGTGTTTTTGTTTGTTTGTTTGTGTTTTTTTGAGGCAGAGTTCCACTATGAGTAGCCTAGGCTAGCCTTAGACGTGAGACCCTCCAGCCTCAGCCTCCCCAGGTGATGGGATCACAGGTGTGCATCAGAATACTGGACTGGATTTCATTTTTAACTGTGTGTGTGTGTTTTTGAGTGTGTATGCGGGTGTGTATGCATGTGAGTGTGTATGCGGGTGTGTATGCATGTGAGTGTGTATGTGGGTGTGCATGCATGTGAGTATGTATGTGGGTGTGCATGCATGTGAGTGTGTATGTGGGTGTGCATGCATGTGAGTGTGTATGTGGGTGTGCATGCATGTGAGTATGTATGTGGGTGTGCATGCATGTGAGTGTGTATGTGGGTGTGCATGCATGTGAGTGTGTATGTGGGTGTACATGCATGTGAGTGTGTATGTGGGTGTGCATGCACGTGAGTGTGTATGTTGGTGTGCATGCATGTGAGTGTGTATGTTGGTATGCATGCATGTGAGTGTGTATGCAGGTGTGCATGCATGTGAGTGTGTATGCTTGTGTGCATGCATGTGAGTGTATATGCTTGTATGCATGCATGTGAGTGTGTATGTGGGTGTGCATGCATGTGAGTGTGTATGTGGGTGTGCATGCATGTGAGTGTGTATGTGGGTGTACATGCATGTGAGTGTGTATGTGGGTATGCATGCATGTGAGTGTGTATGTTGGTGTGCATGCATGTGAGTGTGTATGTGGGTATGCATGCATGTGAGTGTGTATGCAGGTGTGCATGCATGTGAGTGTGTATGTGGGTGTACATGCATGTGAGTGTGTATGTGGGTATGCATGCTTGTGAGTGTGTATGTGGGTGTGCATGCATGTGAGTGTGCATGTGGATGTGCATGCGTGCACATGAAGCAGGACTATGACTTGTTCCCTTTTCCAGTGTGAGTCTAGGGGATTAAATTCAGGTCATCAACCTTGGCAGAAAATTCCTATTTACCTATCTTTACACCTATTTACACCAGCCCCTCAACCTTACTTTTTGAGACTCAGTCTGGAACTCACCGATTTGGGTAGACTGGTTGGCCAGCAAGCCCCAGGAATTCTCCTGACTCCACCGAGTGCGTGTGACCACGCCTGGCTTTTTAATGAAGATCAAACTCACGTCTTGTATGTACAAGGCAAGCACTTTACCAAGTTATCCCTTCGGCCCTGTTTTTAACCTTCTCGGTGTGTCTAGTAGTTTAACTGTCTACTGTGGCTGTCCGAGTTTTAACTGCAACGTATTTGCTGAGGGCAAGCACCTGTTCCTATCACAGTACAATGCCAATATCACTTACTCAACAACAGCTGGGTGTGCTGGAGAAAGAAGGGGTGAGTGGGTTCTGTGCTGCGTGCCCGGATGACCTCTTAGTCAGGGTTTCTGTTGCTGCCACGACACACCGTGACCAAAGCAAGTTGGGGAGGGAGGGGTTTATTTACCTTACCCTTCCAGACCACAGTCCATCATCAGAGGAAGTCAGAACAGGAACTCAGCCAGGCCTGGACCCTGGAGGCAGGGGCTGATGCGGAGGCCATGGAGGGCAGCTGCTCACTGGCTGGCTCAGCCTGCTTTCTTATAGAACCCAGGACCAACAGCCCAGGATGACACCACCTACAATGGACTGGGCCATTCCCCATTGATCACTAAATGAGAAAATGCCTTACAGCTGGATCTCATCAAGTCATTTTCTCAACTGAGGCTTCTTCCTCTATGACTCTAGCTTGTGTCAAGTTGACATACAAAACCAGCCAGTACAGTGAGCAGACCAGATACTCAGGGGCAGAAGCCAGAAGAGTGCACTTTCAAGGCCTACCTGGGAAGATAGAGGGTATGTTCAAGGCTATCCTAGGAAACTTAGTAAGACCCTGTCTTAAAGACAGGGCTAAAGGTGTTTAATGGGAGAATGCCTGCCTGGAATCCCCCAGTGCTGGAGGGCATGTCTCAGTGGTAGAGCACCTGCCTAGAATCCTCCAGTGAGGGGCTGGGGTGTGGCTCAGGGGTAGAGCACCTGCCTAGAATCCCCCAGTGAGGGGCTGGGGTGTGTGGCTCAGTGGTAGAGCACTTGTCTAGAATTCCCCAGTGAGGAGTTAGGGGTGTGGCTCAGTGGTAGGGCACCTGCCTAGAATTCCCCAGTAAGGGGTTAGGAGTGTGGCTTAGTGGTACAGTACTGCATAGAATCCCCCAATGAGGGGCTGGGGTGTGGCTCAATGGTAGAGCACCTGCCTAGAATCTCCCAGTGAGATTCCGGTGGGGGGGCAGGGCATGTCTCAAGTGTTAGACCACCTTCCTGGCATCCTCTAGTGAGGGGCTTGAGAAGCCAGACCAGTCTGGAAGAGTCTCTGAACACTGCCTGGGTTTCCAGGGCTGGTGATTTGTCTGGAACCACAGAGCCAGCCAATCCGAGGGGGTTGGGCGGCGGTGCGCGCCCCCCTGACCTCGTCCTTGTGTTAGTTACAGGACTCTCATCAGACCGACCTACCGGGTGTCCTACCGCACGGTGACTGCGCTGGAGTGGAGGTGTTGCCCGGGATTTACCGGCAGCAACTGTGAAGAGGGTAAGTAGGGATGGCCCCAGTCGCCTAGGCTGCAGGGGCTATGGATGTTTCCTCCTGACCCACCGCTCTGTGCCAAATGCTCCCCCTGCTATGGACTTTGAGAATGTGATTCCTTATTCTCCTAACGATCCTTAGCCCCGTGCCCTGGGTGAAGCGGCCTGCCATGTTTGAGGACCCCGACTTGGGTTCCTGTTTACCTCGGTTGGATGGGGATTGGGGGAGCCTCATGAGCTATGGCCCATTTCCTCTTCTGGCTCCGACACATTCAGAACTGGGGCGAGTACTACTAGCTGCTTGTGGCCAGACAAATACAGATAAAGTTTAATTGGAGTACAGTCAGGCGGACGCCAGGGTGCCAAGCCGTGCCTGGCTCCCTCCGTGTCAGAGGAAGGGTGGATAGCTGGGCCAGGCACAGTCCTTCCTTCCCAGTGCCCTGGGGGCTAGCACAGCCTGGCTTTGGTGCCCATGGGTGTAACGACTCTTTCGTTATGCCACCAGCTCCCAAATAACAACACAGAGACTTATTGTGAAAGCTCAGCTTTAGCTTAGGCTTGTCCTACGAGCTCTTATACCTTTAAATTAACCCATTTATTTCCTATTTCTGTGGTGTGGAACGTTACTTCATCTCTCCATACTGCCCATCACGCTTTCTCTGCTTCTGGCTGGTGACTCCGCCCTCTTCTTCCCAGAGTTTCCTCTCTGCCCAGAAGTCCCGCCTATACCTCCTGCCTGGCTGTTCAGCTTTTATTACAGCAATCACAGCAGTACATTCTCACAGTGTACAAATATCCCGCAACACATGGGGCTAGAAATATATTATATATATAATGTGCATAAAGAATATACATATTATATATTATTTATAGCAAGTATTATCTATAATTATATATCCTATGCACAGAAGAATATATACATATATCTGTGTAGGTACACATGGCTGTGTGCATATGTGAAGGTCAGACACTGGAGCCGTCTACCTCATTACTTTGAGACAAGGTTTCTCACTGGGGTGTGGGGCTCACTGGTTAAGGTAGGCTGGTTGTTTGGGCAGTGAGCCACAGGGATTCTCCTGCCTCCAGTTCTTCAGTGTGGAGATTACCAGTGCAACCAGCACACCCAGCTTAGTGGTACTCAGGTCAAGGCTTTGTCGTGTGATTCCCCTCCAGGCCCTCAAATGCATTTCTGACATTTTAAATTTATGACGAGTGTATTTGGGCACTGTTCTATTATAAGTCAAAAAGCACCTATTTATGCTCAGTGTTGAAGTGTAGAAATGCCTAGAATGACATCTTCCGTAGTAGTCTCGAGTCTCCCTTTGGCAAAAAAGAAAAAAATCAAAATAGAACCAAAAATTGGCAACAACACTGGAGACATTTTGTGCATTAATCATTCAGTGACTTTCAAGGACCTGCCTCTGGTGGGCAGATGGCCTCTGTAACACTATACACAACACTTATAATTAAATTCCTATTAAAAGACACAAGTCATTTCCAATTTTTGCCTAGCATTCCTGTAAACATCTTTTAAAAATGAAATAAATATCCCATATACTTAAAGCATAAATGGTTATTTTGTTATTTCTCTCCCCCGGTTTCTGTATACATATGTATATGAGGTACATTGATGTGTGTGAGTATTGAGGTCATAAGAGGGCCCTGGGCACCGCTCTCTACCTTAAAACATTTTTTTTTGGTTTTACGAACCTTAAAACATTTTTAGATTTTTATTTTATGTGTATGAGTGTTTGGCTTGAATTTATGTCTGTGCATTGTTTACATATTTGGTGTCTACAGAGGCCAGAAAAGGACGTCGTCAGATCTTGCCATGTAAGCTGACATGTGGGTTCTAGGATTTGAACTTGGGTCCTCTGCAAAAGCAGTCAGTGCTGTTACCCGCTGAGCCTTCTCTCCAACCCTCTTCACTTGTTTTTTTTTGAAGCCTACACGCCCCCAGCCTTTTTGCATTTATTTGTTTTGGGAACCAATGAGTTCATATGAGGTTGCCTACAAGAGCAGGGTAGGGGGTACTTACAGAGGCATGGACAACTCACCAGAGGCTACAACTCTGAAGAAAATGCCTACATATCTTTAGGGAGGAGTGGAGCCTCCTGAGTCCCTCCCTCCTCTAGGATGGGGTCTTGATGGGCTCAGTCTAGAGTGTCTTGTCTTCTGAGCTGGGGTCTGCCACTGAACCTGGAGCTCACTGATCCTATTAGACTTGCTGCCCAGCGAGCCCCGTCTTTGCCTCTTCAGTGATGGGCTTTCAGGCACATTGCTGCACACGGCTTTTACATGGGTGCTGGGGATCCAACACGGGTCCTCATGTATGCACAGCATGCACTTTGCAGCCCGAGCCGTAGCCCCGGCCCTAAAAGACAGTTTTAGAGCTTCTGACGCCTGCTAGACCGGATGTTGATTTCTGCCAAAGCAGAGGCAGCTCTGGCCATGAATGTGGTTCTCGTCTTTCTCCTCTAGGTCTGATTTAAGAGTGGTTTCATAAAGGCTGGAGGGATGGTTCTGCAGTTAAGGGCAATTTCTGTTCTTGCAGAGGACTGGAGTCAGGTTCCCAGCACCCAAGGTTGGCTCTCAGCTGTCTGTAACTGCAGCTCCAGGATATCTGCTGCCCTCTGGCCTCTTTGAGCACTCGCTCAACACACGCACCACACACACACACACACACACACACACACACACACACACGTATACAAAAATATACTTGCCTTTAAAATATATGTATATTTATAATAATGCATACACACGTGCATATGTGTATATAATATGCACATATATGTATGTATACATAAATTAAAATAAATTGAGTCCCATGTCCTGCCAACAGGTGTCCCTCCAGCTAGTCACGTGTTGCTCACCTTGGCTATGCTACACTTTGGAAAGGGCTTCAGCCTAGCGCTGCACACTGCCATTGTAGGGCTATGGAAACGAAGCTCTGAGGCAAGAGCAAGTTCGTCAGGCCACTTAGCTAATGAGTGTGCAATCCAGGGCTGGCACCCGGCGATTTTTGCTGCCTGGGATTTTGAAGGTCCAGGGAAATCCCATCCAAAGCCATGGCAACCGAGGCCTGGGCGGGTTTCAGCAGCATCCACGGTGGCACTGCTCCGCTCCTAGCAGCTCCGAAGCCAGATCGATCTCACGCTAGGTGCTTGTTGTAGTGTGAACGAGAAGGGTCTCCCACAGGATCGCACGGCTCCCAGCTGGCGGGACTGTGTTTGGAGAGCGCCAGACAGGATCACAGGGTTCCCAGCTGGCGGGACTGTGTTTGGAGAGCGCTGGACAGGATCGCACGGCTCCCAGCTGGCGGGACTGTGTTTGGAGAGCGCCAGACAGGATCACAGGGTTCCCAGCTGGCCGGACTGTGTTTGGAGAGCACGGGGCCTTTAGGATGTGAAGACGCCATGAAGGAAGCTGCATCACTGGGGGGGGGTTGGGGGGGCTTGGGGGGCGGACTTCGAGGTTTGTTGCAGTTTTTTTCTCCTTAATGAGGAGACTAAGCAGCATCTACCCCCACCTGCCCCCAACCTCCTCATAAGGTCCCCATAGCAAAGTAAAGTTCCGTGTCACCAAGGCTAATCCTGGGGAGCCAGCGAGTTTGTCTACTTAGAGATCATGGATGACAGAGAGGTCAGAGCTTGGACTGCGGGGTAACCCCACAGCAGTTTTACTGGAGGGTCTGTGCCCAGCATGGATGGTGGCTCCCTGGCCTATATGCCAAAGCCCCTCCCTGAGACTCCCATGGCCACAGGAAATTAGGGCAGAACTGGAAACAAATGTCTGGGGGAAGTGGCTGGATACCCAGAAGAGGACCCAGTGGCCCTCCCCACCATATTGTTCCATGTCCAAGGTCAGCCGTCAACGGTCCCGCTGCGATGACCTTGTGCAAGCGAGCTCAACTGCTTACGTGAAGAAGGCGGTTGTTTGGCTCGGAGAGAGTGCGATGCAACGATTTTACAGGTCACTTCCTGTCTGCTCTCCACTTCCTGTTCCTCTAAGATGGGAGGAGGAGGGCATTCCCACCACCCAGGAGGCTCCTGTCCCCATTGTGCCTTCCTCTCCTGCTTCTCTTCCTATGGACTGTACCTCTTGGAACCCATGACCGAATAGACCCCTGCTGTCCCTAAGAGCTTGCTGTCAGGGATTTGGTCCCGGCAACCAGAAAAGTAACTAATCGAGTATCCGAGGGATTTGTGACAAGTAAAGGGAATTGTTCTCTTTCTCCGTTCTTTGTTTCCAGCTGGAAATAAATCTAGGACAGACAGGAAACGAATCCCTAGGGTCCTGTTAGGGGCTAGGGAAGCCTGGGGCAGAGGGGCTTAGCTAGTGCATTCAGGCATGAGCTGATTGATTTGGGTCCAAATTGGGTTGCCCTTTCACCCTGCAGTACACTCTGGGTATGAGCCTGTTTATATTTTGAATGGCAGAGGGTTCAAAGCCAGAAGGAATTCTCCTGGGAGGGGGCTGAGCTCAGTGTTTCAGGGAAACGGTTCCCAGGGAATCTGAGGAGGTCTTTACGGCTTGTCTTCCACGGCTGCCGTTAAAGCGGGGCCTGAGCAAGTATGGCTGTTTATTTAAAATGTATGGCAGACAGAGGGGGTTCCAGCACATTGTGGACGCATGTGTCACCATGATGACGGGGAAAGCTTGGGCGCTCCCAGACGCAGGGTTGCAGGATGCACCTGGGAAACTGAGGGGAGGGTCCAGCGCTGGGAAAGAGCCTGACCGCATGTATGTCTGAAAAGCTACAAAAGTCACCAGGGATAGAGACTGGTGGGTGGGAATCCTCAAAACTCCAGGCTGGGCCCTCTGGCTTCTACTTATTTCCACAGGACCCTATTTCCTGGATATTGCCATACTTCTTTAATTCCAGCACTCGGGAAGCAGAGGCAGGTGGATCTCTGTGAGTTCGAGGCCAGTCTGATATACAGAGCAAGTTCTAGGACAGCCTCCAAAGCCACAGGCTTTTCCCCGATAGAGGAAAAATATCCA